TATTAGCAGTTTGTACACAATTCCGTCTCCAAATGTCATCGTAGTAATCGAGCCAGCTACGCGGATTTGGTTATCAAACAGTATGTTTTTGCGGTGTTAGTAAATTAGCCTCTATTTACTAGGACGCCAAAGTCAAATCGCCCTGCAGGGCAAGAATCGATACAAATTTTACGGGCATGCATTGCAAACGCGATTGGTAGCAAACGCTTAGAAAAAGAAGAGTCTGGTTTGACCGGATTACAAATAAGAATATGAGTAGTTAGCTTCTCCTTTGAGTTGCAGATTTTGTCTGAATTAAATTAATGTTGACCTAGTTTTAGTGATCGAGTGATGCAAGTGTTAGTAAGCTGAGGCAGCATCTTACCCACACTTTAAACGCAGTAAGGTTAAACGTTGGAAGTATAGAACAAAGCCCAGGCCACAATCCGAATACGACGACAGGAAATACACAGGATGCGATGATTGCGGAGAGCCAAGAACATCGAAACACCTTTCCAACCTCGGCTGGGTCAGGCGTGCTGTAGGCAGCCGGGTCGTAGGTTGGGAGATAGAATATTCTGGAAGAAAAAGTTCAACATAACAATGGTAATAACTGGAGTGTATAAGAGTAGTTTGCAATCAACATTTTGAGATCGAAAACGACGAAAAATCCCAATAACGCGCGTTTATAGCTCATGCTTTCAATAGGTCCCGTCTGAAGTTGCCAGCTTCTAAACTGTGTTGGCCATCTAAATACAAAACGTACCAACTTTTTATTGAACGTTGGCTGAAATTAAAGATACCAATTAAAAATTCAGCTGGATGTAACAATGTAGGGTTCAATTTCAAAGAACCTATTTCTTCTATTTTGCATCAGATTTACTTTTAGAATGTTATAGGATTTCCAAAGAGCTTTAATTTCCTAACCGGTAAGACACGGGAAGGAAAAGAACTCACCTATTCCGAGACCCTGGGCTAACTTGCAGGAAAATTGTTGTTGCAGAAAGGTCCCATTGTATTTAAGGTTGCCATTGGTATTCACGTAAGGGTTAGAACGGGAGAATATACACCCTTCGGGGAATTTTACGCAAGATCAGGTGTATTACGGGGAGCTTCTCATTCTCGTGTCTGAGAAACTAGCCTTATGTTGTACTTTTTATTCCAAATTTTAAAAAGATTTCCAACTGGGGATTGTATTTCCGATAGCATATGCCACCATATAAATGTAATTCACTTATGTTAGTATATAAGCTTGCAATTTGTACGTCAACCGTGTTTCCGAGAGTTATTATTTTGGTTTTCTACAACTACATACAATTAAGGTTTTGCAAACATGTGTTTTGAGCAACTCATCACCAGGCCAGGACATTTGCAGAGATGATGAAAATTGTACAGTTGAACAGGGTTAATAAGTGTACTTTGAGCACAACTCATCGTTTTCACGCCACCGGCATGGCGAGATCAGCCTGTAGGGGACCTTGTGCTGGAATATGGGAGGAAATTGGGTTAGGTTGTGGGCCTTAAATAGGGGCCAGGTACATGGCGTGATAATTACTGTTATTTGCACGAAGAGAACGACTATCACTTTACTTACGTGGCCGACCCCGACGCCAGGCTTCGATCGCATGTCACGCCAACCCCCTAATTACTGTCGTTCGTCCCGCGCAAATAACAGTTATTAT